CAGCAGGAAAGTGGAATTCTTCCGGGCAGCCTTCTCTACCCTTACCTCCTCCTCTGTTATACAATTTAATTACAAGTTTAATCACTTCAGAAAACCCATCCATTCCCTCCAGTGTAGTGAGATGTCTCCTTTCCAAGCAGGCGTCTCGGCGATAAGCAGCTGTCCACGGGAATGGTGGATGGGACTCTTGAAACCTCTCCCTCGACGAGCCAGAAAGACATGACTAAATAAAACCTGAAATTGTGTTGACATTTCACTGTGGTTGTTGTAGTTTTAATAATAGAGGAGGGACAAAGTATTTGTAGCTTTAAATGAAGAGGCAGCATTTGGCATTGAAATCACTGGGGATTTTTTGTACGAGGTTTTATTTTTGCTTATTGGGAGAGAAGAAAAAAACAATGAGCTAGGGAGAGACAGAAGTTCAAGAAGACATGGGAAAAGCAAGACGGCTCTGCTTTTCCTTCGTGGCCTTGGTCACCACCGGGGTTCTGTGGTCAACTGTGGGTTCCTTTCTTGAAAGCCTACCGCTCCTGTTGCCTGTTTGGTCCTTAGGAACAAAGATGGCTTTGGATTTCGCTCACCACGTTATTGCGTGTGATGAATGAATCTGTTTCTAGAGCGCATCCTATGAGGCAGGGTGCCGTGTTTGTTTCCCCGTGATTTGATTTTTTAACATGATCTTCTCACAATTACCCTGTGAAGTCACTCATCATGCTCCCCATTAAACAGAAGCAAAAAACTGGAGCCCAGGGCATTGCAACAACTTGTCTGAGATCACACGGTGAGTCTGCCAAACAGCCAGGCCTCCAGATCTTCCAAACACTGGCCCATGACTATTTTAAGATCAATTTACAATTCACCACTCAGCTTTGTTGTAAATGTATCCGCAGTGTTCTCGCGGTATTATTTTTTCTCATTTGCCCATCACCATCTCTCTTATCTCTTTGAGCTCTGTCTTCAGCCCTCTTCTGTCTCCTCCCCTGCTCCCCCCGGTGTCCCCCCCCACCTTGAAAATATTTCAAAAATAGGATAGTCGCAAGCTTCCCAGTGGATTCCCTAACTTTGCATACCATATATTTAGTTTAGTAATGAAAAACTCCAGCTCCAGGCAGCGCAGAGGATAGCATTTCTAATGTTTTTTAAACAGCTATTAATGTAGTCGAGTGCTGTGTGGGTCTTTTTTTTCCGTTCCTCTTCCATGTAATCATCTGCTCAGTGTATACTCTGAAACTGAGAGCAAGGGCCAGAGGAGGGGCAAGCTGTGATTGATGGGCCAGGCTCAAGGAAGGAGTCCCATCTGGGGTTGGTTTGGGTAGCAGTCAGTTGTTGAAGGGGAGGTCAGCCAGGCAGCCTCGGCTGCCCCCCTTCCACACCCCCGCCATCCCCACGTTGCACAGCGCACACACCCTGGCTCGTAATCGAGGCTCGCTTCAGGCAGATGATTTGTGGTGTGACACTAGAACAGCTGCTAAGTTTATGGAGGAGAAAGGAAGCAGGATGGTACAGCAGGTATTCTTCCCCCATTTTCTATTTTACTCGAAATTGTGATTTGAATGAAGCGGAAGCCTTTCCTTGTATTAAGTCTCTGTTATTCTCTCCATGATGTGGATTCTGCTCCTTGAATCATGCCGGCGGTGGGGGGCGTGGTGGGGGGAGGAAAGGATTTTCAGCCTAGTGTGTGTGTGTGTGTGTGTGTGTGTGTGTGCGTGCGCGCGCGCGGGCTTCTCTGCTTGATGGGTGGAACTGAGCCGGTCTTAGAACCAGCAGGTTAATGATGTAATTTTGCATTTTCCTTCTTGGTTTCCATGCCCCCGGGGGGCATGATGCAGTTTAGTTCTTTTCCGTCCAGCAGTGGAGGCTTTCTCTGAATATGCAATTCTTCAAGAAATATGCTGTTTCTTGCCAGACAAGTAGAACAGACCAGGCTAAGAAACTAAAGTAGACCAAACTGTCAGCAAGACGGAAAACTGCACGCAACGGAGAATGGATAGTTTCCTCCTGCAAAGCCAAGTTGGTGGGGGTTCCCGTGGCTGCTTTCCTAGGCGGTGCAGACAGATGTAATCAGCTGGTTTATGAGGATTGAACCATTCCTGTGCCTTTCTTCATTATAGGGGCTGTGTTTAGGCCAGAAGAGGTTTGGGGTGGGGGGACAAGAAGTGGACTGGGGACAAATAGATTCCAGAAGCAAAAGGAGAAAGGATGCACCAGAAGTTTGACAGGTAGAGCTGGGAAAACACACACACACACACACACACACACACACACACACACACAGAAGAGAAAGAAAAATACTTCAAGTCCACCTTGGCAGGCACTTTTCCCCCTCGGTGAAAGTCAGACAGTTACGGTGAAAAGAATAAATGCATTTCATGTTCTGCCACGTAAAGACTATTTTCTGCAATTGAAATGTGGTTTGCATTAGATTCTGAGCCAAAATATTTTGCCAAGTCTGATGGGCTGCCTCTCTTGGTTCGTTTTTTAGTTTCCCAAAACTACTTTATTAAACCACTAAGGGCCATGCACGGGAGAAAGGTGATGTCTGAAAAGAAACCAAAAAAAAGCACCTCCCATTTTCTCTCTGACTCTGCCTCCTGAGAAAATTAAGGGTGTAGGATGTTCTAGTGACCAAGGAAATTCTCCTTGTATTTGAGGGACGTCTCTCTGAATGCCTGCACGCAGCGGAGTCCACACACTATGCTAATGGTCAGATTACGGTATTTGTCTTAAAATAGCAATAGTATCCTGGCTACCTCATGCTTCAGGAAAATATTTAAATTGACATGGCATTTTTTTTCTTTGGTGAATCAGACTTGGTTGCATTTTAATAATCCTTTTTCTCTCTGTAACTGGAGTACAAACTACCTGTCGGGTTGTCGCAGGTAATGAGGGGTCCCCCGTTATCATCTGGCTGCTGTTGGGTTGCTGTTCTAATTGAGGTTTGGTGTATGAGGACAAAGAAGTTTCTTCAGCATTTATCCTAATGGATGTTCTTGATTTCAAGCTCCTACCCAGTTCTGCAGCAGCAACGGTGGGTTTTAAAACATGAGGTCTTGGCTTCTTTTCCCCCCTTTTGTGAATTCGGCAGCAACCCAGCAAAGTCCAGGCCCTGAAAATTAGATGCTAGCTTTGCAAAATCACTTGAAGCACCCCCTTGATAATGTGGGGCTACATGCAAAGCAGAATCACCCTCCCCATCAACTCAGAACAGCCACAAGCACCCTGACTCAGTAAATATCAGAATCTCTGTGATCGTTCCCCTGATTTAGGGAAAAGTGTGGGTGGGCATTAGAGTAGAAGAAAGAAGGCAGCTTCTGCAAATGAGGGAATGTCTAACCAGAATGCTCCAAATAACTGTTGCCTGTCACTGCCACCAGTGTGAAATTGGCTTCAGCCTTCCAGCAGGAGCTTGTTCACGTGCCCAAGATTTGCCTTGACCTGGAGTGGAAAAGGTGCCCATAATGTGAATATATTTTTCCAGAAAATCCATTTTAGCCAAGCTGAGTATCCAGGAACATCACTAGGGAGGAAAGAAAGACATATCCGAAGCCCTTTGAAGGTGAAAAATAATTCCGTAGGAATACGGTGATCTTAATTAAATATTAGCTGTAATTAGCCCAAAGTGCAAACGTTGGGAATATTAATTAGGGTTCCTCTGGAATGGCTGTCAGTGTTAATAAGTAACCGTGCGGGGTCCCACCAACATCTGTTTGAGAACTCCAGGAACGGGAGTGCATCCCAAGTTCTATGGACTTGAATGCTACCTGGAGGTTCCCTGGCTCCCATGGACATCGTCTCTAGAGGTGGGCACCCGTGGTTTACCAGAGTGGCATAAGTTTTGGTAGAGGTTGGTGGTTTGCCCTGGCTCCAGTGGTGCCCCTACTTGGCCCTTGGCCTTGGCCCTTGTAGCCTCAGAGCCTTCGGAAGCCAGGCTTTGGGCTTGAGGTGGCAGAAGTTTCCCAGGCTGCTGCTCTAACACACCAAGGGTTACCCCTCGCCTCCCCCAGTCTGGCTACTGGAACCCTGGCCTCTTTGAATCAAATACCCTAGCACCTGACTTCCCCACAGGGTGTAACATGCCACCAGGTGGAAAACAGGTCTCAGGGTCACGGTATACGTGACAGAGACCGGTTTATTTATTAAAAATTAGAAACGCATTTCCCCACCAGAGATCTTCTTTCCAGATGAGGGTCACCTTGGCGTCGGATAAACCTGGGCTCTGGTTCAGCTCCTGGCTTCCCTCAGAGGTACTTGTGGCTGCAACCTCGTAATATTATTTACCAGCTCTGGGCTACAGTATCCTTCACAACAAAATAAAGTGGGATCAGAGATGCAGTGCATGCAAAGCAGAGAGTCTAGACCTTGGCACTATTAACCTTTGGGCCAGATAATCCTTGGTTGTGGAGGGGGGCTCTGTCCTGCGCACTGTAGGATGTCTAGCTGCAGCTCTGGCCTCCACCCACTAGATGCTGGTGGTACCCCTTCCTACTCAGTTGTGACAAACAAAAGTGTCTCTGGTCGTTGCCTAATGTCTCCTGGGGAGCAGTCACCCTGCTTAAGGACTCCTGATGCAAAGCATGCAGCACCGTGCCTGGTGCCCACTAGGTCTGAGTGTCACTCAGTTTGTTTCCTGGGTTCTGGTTTGGAGAAGAGGATGCCTTTCAGATGGAGCACAGAAGTCTGAAGCCATCATAGGTCTTCGCACAAGCTCACTTCTGCTGAGTCTGAAGCACGTGTGTATACAATGCAGAGACCTGGTGATGGAAAGCACATTCTGAAAAAGATTCTACCGCACCTTTCTTCCACCATCCTTAACGCTGCCGAACTCCACGTCTGGCTGAGCCACCCCCTCCTTGGTTTAGCTAGAAGGCACCCCCTTTCCCTCCCTACTTCACCACCAACTGCATTTCCTGCCCAAACCATCTGTGCAACAACAGCTGTTTTTATTTTTTTAACATCCTTATTGGAGTTTAATTGCTTTACACTGGTGTTAGTTTCTGCTTTAAAACAAAGTGAATCAACTATACATATACATATATCCCCATATCTCCTCCCTCTTGCATCTTAACTGATGTCCCCATATTTCATGATAACTCTGCCACAATGATAAGAAAACTTTTCCTGCAAAGGGCCAGATAGATAAATAGTTTAGACTTTGTGGGCTATACGGTCTCTGTCAGAGCAACTCAACTCTGCCGTCAGAGCACCGTGACCATGGTTGTGTCCCAATAAAACTTTATTTACAAAAACAAGTCACAGGCCAGATTTCTTCCAGGGTTCGTTTGCTGATCCCTCTCCCATCCCCCCACCCCCATCCTGTTGCCAATGAAGCCTGACAGAGCCCAGAGTCCACTAGCCAAGCATGCATTCACTTAGCAAACACCGGTGTATGTTGACTTTGCAGCCAGCGTCCTGCTGACCCCTGGAGATGGAACAGAGAATGTGACACGGTCTCCCACCCTCAGGATGCTCACAGGCTAATCAGCAGGCGATAGAGGCACCTGGAGTTATGTGGGAGGTGACCACAAGCTGCAGTGTAGATGGCAGGCAACTGATGTGGTTTAGGTGTCAAGGAAGACTTGCTGGGAAGCTCTTGATCTGGGACCTCAAAGAGAAGCCAATGAAGGCTAGCCAGGGAAGGGAGTAGGGGAGGAATTCCCAAGCAGAGGAGGCAGTGAACAGGATGGTGTCGAGAGGATGGAGAGACCACAAGCTTCTTGAGGGCAGGCCCTTCCCGCTCCAGTACAGAGAGAGGTCAGATCCTAGCAAGGAGCTGTTGCTGTTTTGCAGCTTGTAGGATTGGTTCACTCCTCCTGAGACTGCTTTGCAGCGAGGAAAGGCCATGTGGGCACACATATGTACCCGTGAAAGTGTTTCTACTGAAGGTGGAGAAAGGAAAGCTTTGTCTTTTATGACCATCTCTCTCTACCATTGATCCTGTGATCATTTCATGCTCCCCTGGAGTTTTCACAAGTCTGTCTTTCAATTCAGAGACAAGTGAGCTGGGAGGTAGGGGAGGCTGAAACAGACCTTTGGGCAGAAGTGGAATCTGTCCTGGTGATTTTCTCTTTGGAGCGTTCTCAAGGTCGCAAAGTTGCTAGGGTTTCTTGTCAGCCAGAAAGACGTAGCATCTGTATGGACTTTTCTGTGCACAAGGGTGTATTCCTTGAGCAGCCCTGTAGAAGAGAAGAGTGCTAGTCGGCTCATACACAGAAGGGGATTTTTTCTGGTATTAGTCAAGACCTTTCTGGTTGCAAGTAACGGAAAGGCGGGCTTACACTAAATAAGACACTTACTGACTCATGGAACTTAAACAGCAGTGTTACTCACTGCAGGAAAAGCTGGATCCACGGCTTCAAATGATGTCAGCAGGACTCAGTTGATCTGTTTCTCCATTTCTGGGCTCCGTTTTCCTCTGCGTTGGCTTCTGCTTTAGGGAGGCTCCCTTCAAGAGGCAGTTCTTGGCAGCTCTAGGCTTAACATTATTCTTCCAGCTGCCAGTCATCGAAGTGAAAGAATTTCCCCCCCAAACTCCAGCCAAGTCCCAGGATTAAGCCTCACTGGAGTTGCTAGGGGTTAGGTAGATGGGCATAAGCCCAAGTCACTGTGACCGTTAAGAGTGGAGCCCTCTGGTTAGCCAGGCAGGGTAACATGGCCACGTCTAGAGGTAACCAGAGACGGGCCCAGCCACGTCTGCACGATGTGGGGACTGGGAGTGGAAGTGGCCCCTAAAAGGAAACCGGGCTTGTCTTTGAAGAGGAGTGAACAATGAACGGCAGTGACAGTAAACGCGGTTTCCCAAGGACGGACGCGGTTAACTTTCCACGCCGATCGATGCAACCCCAGCACAGACAGACCCGTTCAGCCCCAAGTGCTATGAAAACACGTCGCCAAGAGAGAAATGGCTGTTTATTTTTGCTTCTGATGGCACAGACATTTGGAGAAATTAGTCTGGGGGAGGAAAGGGCCTGAGGGGAGTGTTTTCACTTGTAAAATGTTTTAAACTTATCCTAAGTGTCGTTCTCTTCCAAGTGTCATCTTTAGCATTCCAATTAAGGCTCCTTCTAAACAAATGTGCCAGCTCCCTGCACTGCTCTGAGAATAAACTTTTTCCCCCTCTCTGTCATAATGGTTCTTGCTGCGCTCAAGTTGCTTTGGCTGAAGAAGCCCTCAAATGTTGGTGGCGGGAGCCCAGGAGATGTGGGCAGTTCTGACACTTTTGCCCTGGTATCGTTATAGGAGGACTGAAGTCACGTCTAACTGACCACAGACAATGGGAGAGGCAGCTATCTGGTGTGCTTAATTGCTAAGCTTTCTCTCTCACTCTCTCTCTCTCTTCTCTTTCTGACTGTGCAATCCCATTTCTTCTTAAGACCGTGGAAAATTTAGACCTTTGGGTTACAGTCCCTGATACCTTGTGTGTGTGTGTGTTTGTGTGTGTGTGTGTGTGTGTGTGTAGGGTAGTAAAGTTATGGGAGTCAGCGTGGAGAGAGAGATGCTTCCTGAAATGGAAGCATTTGAATTCTTTTTTTTTAATTCTTTTGACTTGCCTATAAGTATCACACTGCATGTTTTGCCTAGATGTGAAGGGCGAATTGTTACATAATAGTCTGCTTATAAAAAAAATAACAAGTCAGGGAATGAGAGCAGGCATTGATTAATGAGGCTAAGAATTAAGTCCAGCATTTTTCACAGATACTTAAAATGAGACAATCACAGAAGGCCATCTTTGTCCAAATTAGGCACTGAATTTTCATCAGCTGCTTCATGTTGGCACTAGGAACATCAAACACACACACACACACACACACACACACACACACACACACACACACACACACACACACTGTGACCATTGCAAGGACCACCACCCCCGTCCCATTATGTGAGCCAAATCACATAAAATGTTGATTAAATTCAAATGCTTACATGAATTGTCTCTCCTCTCAAGAACACACACGTGCAATTTAATCGGTCTTGGCATTTTAAGTATCAAATCAAGGCTCTGCTGTCACCAGCGACAACTACATGCTCACAGGTCCCCAAACGGGAATGAAATTAGAAAGATCTGCCAGAACAACCCAATCCAGGAGAGCGCATGCCCTCACAGTGTTTGGCTGTTGGGCTGGATGATTCGGGAAAGGGTCTTCAACCCTTCAGAGCCTCGATTTCTGCATCTGTACAATGGGGCTCTATCTACAATGCTTACTGTTTCCTTATAGGGTCCGGTGAAGATTGAGTGGGATGTATCCATCTCAGGCTCTTGGCAACCGTGCTGAAACCCGCGAAGCATCCGGGGAGCAGTTGTCCTTGTGCCTCGGGGGGGAAAGTTTCTGCTTGGTGCCCGCTCACGGTTTTCTCTCCCTCTCTCTCTTTCTGATTTTCCAGGGTAATCAGGAAGCAGCAGCTGCCCCTGACACAATGGCTCAGCCTTACGCTTCGGCCCAGTTTGCCCCCCCTCAGAACGGCATCCCCGCGGAATACACGGCCCCTCATCCCCACCCCGCGCCAGAGTACACGGGCCAGACCACCGTTCCCGAGCACACGTTAAACCTGTACCCTGCCGCGCAGTCGCACTCGGAGCAGAGCGCAGCGGACACGAGCGCGCACACCGTCTCGGGCACCGCCACAGTAAGTGCGCACTGGCCTCAGGGGGCACGCTGGGACCCCAGGGTTCCGGGAATGAGAGCGGGGCGCACCTCTGTGCAACTGGTCGGGGTTGGGGGGTGGAGGCGACCTCCCGCAAAGCAGCCCCTAAGCTCATCCTTGTCATCCCAGCCCCGCCTAGTTCACCTTACCTACGTGCATCTTCTCCTGGCACTGATTTAAATCAACACATTTTCCATTGACCGCGTGTATTTGTAAAGGGAAACGTTTATCTCTTTTCTGCTTCTGTAGTTTTGCTTTTTCTGGAATTATGTCATCTGAGGGGAATCATACACTATGATTATGAGATTGTGACGATATAATCTTTTTTTTAATGGCTTTATGGAGATACCATTTACATACAATAAAATTCACCTATTCGAGGTGGACAACTCATCGATTATTATTGTATTTACAGAATTGTGCAACCGTTGCTACAGTCTAGGAATATTTCCATCACCCCCAGAATGAATCTCCTGCCCATTGTTGCCACTCCCATTCCCACCCCAGCCCTCCCTAGCCAAATTCGTTGGAAATTCACCCACGTTGTGGCTTGAGTCCCTAACATCGTTTTTATTTCAGAGCCCCCGGGGGTGTGGGTGGCCTAGGCCGCCAAGGGGCAGCAGGAGTGAATTTTGCAGGACTGTTCTGCATTTTGATGGTGGAGGTGACACACCTCTACGCACCAAAAAGTCAGATTTATTGCATATGAATGGATGAAATGGGTTGAAAACAAGCAAACAAACTGAAAAGAAACCGTTTATCACCACCATCAATGGAAACTAGTATTGCTGGCTATCCATAAAGGACAACCACCCTAAACAAAAATAACGATGAAAATTACACAATGTTTATTTAGGTACCACCTAAAATAACCACACACCGTGCATACCGTTAGAGGTAGATGTACATTTAGGAAAACTTGTTCTGTGGAATTCTTTAGAAGCCTGGACACATCCAGCCTCTAGTCCAGAACACTTTATAGGTGCAAGGCAGTTGGGCCTGTTTCTTCTGCCCTCTGAGAAACTGGTATTTGCAAAGAAGTTTATTGGTTTGAAGCATATGATATATTTCTTGTAGCCACAGCAACCATTGACTAGCTTTGCTACCTGGTACCTCACTGATTTGCAGGTTAGGTTTGGTGATTTTTCAGAATAATGTAAATTTAAAATTTTTCTATTGCTTGTCCTCCCTTATTTATTGTGCCAAAATACATATAACATAAAATTTACTGTTTTAACCATTTTATCGTATACAATTCGGTGCTATGAAGTACATTCGCAATGTAGTGCAGCCATCACCATTATATAGTCCTAGACATTTCCATCACCCCAAAAGGAAATCCAGTATCCATTAGGCAGACATCCTCCATTCCTCCCTCCCACCAGACCCTGGGAACCACCCGTCTGCTTTATTTCTGTCTGGATTTGCCTATTCTGTGTTTTTCCCCCAAATGAGATCATACCATATATGTCCTTTTGTGTCTGTCTTTTGCTTAACAGAATGTTTTCAAGGTTCATCCATGCTGGATTTTATATGACTGAATACCATGCCATGATATGGATTGATCATATTTTGTTTATCCATCCATCCGTTGTTGGGCATTTGGGTTGTTTCTGCCTCTTGGCTATTGTCAATAATGCTGCTATTGCCTTTTTAGTATTTGGCTGCTGTAACTTAGGGATGGGTTCATTAAATGGGTTTTTGGATTTAGTAGGTGTTTATTGTTGTTGTGTTGACTACCTAGTGATGGAGTTGTTTATTTGGTTGCTGGTTGTTTTGTCATAATCAATGGTGGTAGGGCTTGAGAAGGTTATTTTAGGACTAAAAAAGGTCCCATCAGACATCATTTATTAAGCCTCAACATGGACCAACCATACAAACTGCTGTGGAAGTTTCTTTCATTCACTCACAAATATTTATTAAGCATCTACTCGGGCCAGGACTCATACTTGATGATGTGGTTGAACCAAACAGAAATGGTCCTTTCTCTCTTGTAACTTAGTGCCAGAGACAGAGAGTAAACATGTAGCAATAAAATAGCTGTATAAACACACATTGTGATATGCGCTCTTAAGGAAAAGACAGGTGCTATGGGAGGCTAAAAAAAGATCAGAGGTACCACTTGTAAATGAGTAGTCTGGGAACATTTCTTCAAGGGCATGATATTTAAGGGGAAAAGACAAAGCATCCAGGCAAAAGGAATACCAAGGTCAAAGGTTCCAAGGTTGGAAAGAGCTGGGCTTATTCAAAGAACTCGAAAAGAGGCAGTACGTCTAGGGCATATGAAGACAGTTTGGGGATGGCAAAGGATAAAATGGGGGCAGCCAGCAGGGATCGTATCCCGCAGGCCTAGTGGGTTCCATGTTGAAAGCTATGGGAAGCCATTGAAAAGAGTTTAAGCCAGAAAAGTTTAAAAAATAACATTTTGAAAGAAAGGGTTAATTGTACCTACCTTAGAGGAAATCTTAATCCAGCTGGGGGGTAGAGAAGCTCAACATCCTTTTCTCACAAAAAGAACTCTCCAGAGATCAACACGATTATATTTAAATTGCATATTGGATGTCCACAGTGCCCCAGACACTACAGGAGGTGAAATGATGAGCAGACAGGCTCCCTCCCTTAGAGAGGTTTTGGTCCACCAGAGAGCGTCGGATATGTGTTCTGTTACTTGTCATCATGTTGCAAGTTCTAGAGCATGGATTTCCAAGGCTTTAGTGTATTATGATGATCGTGGAAGAAAACACTTTCTAAGAGATCTACCTCAGAATCACGGATGAAGCAGTATTATTTCGTAGGCTTCTTGTTGCTGTAACAGAAAACTCAGTAGGGAATGTATCGGCTTATAAAACAAAACATTCCAGACAGGTGCTGGCTTTAGACACAGCTTGGTTCTTGGCGTGCATCTGTTAGGTTCCAGCTGCATCTGCCTCTGACCCTTCTTCCTCTTGCTCATCATTCTCCACTTCTGTGTGATGGTCCTTCAAGTTCAGGCTCTTGACATCACAGCAGATCCCCAGTGAAAGACTCTTGGATTAGTCCATACAAGCAAGCCTGGGAATCACTCTCTCTCTCTGGTTTGCGCAGTTCAGTGGCTGAAGCGGAGAATGGATGTCTCAGCCGTGGGGCCACTGAGGAGCCCCATTCCCAAATACATAGACCAAGGGTGGTTCCACCGGAGTCGATGGTAAGGTGCCTTTGGGACTTCTCGTGAAAGGTATTTAACGGACAGCAACTGGTCAGCACCAAAGGTAGTACGGTGATCCATTTGTATGGACAGGCCTGAATTGATTTCATTTGTTGAGTATAGGGAATGGAGAGGTCAAGGACTGACCACTGGAGAACTCATAGGTGGTGAGGTCTGGAAGAAAAAGAGCTATTGAATGAGATGTAAAGAGGGTACCCAGATGGGGGGTTGAACCAGGAGAGTGTTGTCATGGCAGCCTGGCAGGTGTGAACTGAGAAGACATCATTGAAGCTGGCAGTGTGGACATTACTGAAGACCCAGGAGAAAGTAGCCTTAGTAGAGTATTGGGGGGAGATGCCAGGGGGCCAGGAGTTGAAGAATAAATGGGAACTATCAAAGTGGGTATGTACAGTACCATTGTAAACATTTGGAGGGAAGAGGAAAAAGAAAAGATAGCATTGGAAGAGCACAGATCTCAGAGAAAGCAGTTTGTAGGAGAGTGGATTTTGATTCACTGTTTACACCGCAGAGAATTGTGATGGGGAGGACAAGGAAGAAGAGATAGGGAATGATGACTCAAGAAAGAAAGTGACAAAGTATTTTAGAGGAAATAGGAAGGAATATGACCAAGGGTACACAGATACAATAGGTAGTCTGGGAAAGGAGAAGAAATACTTTACTTTTTGCAGCTCTATTGACATATAAATGACATACAACAAACTGTGCATAAAGTGTGCAATTTGATGAGTATTGACATACGTATGTAACTGTGGAACCACTGCCACTCTCAAGATAACAGACATGTCCATCATCCCCAAAGTTTTTTTTTTTTTGTAATCTGGAAACCACTGTATTGTTTGTTTGTCTTTTTTTTTATATTGAAGTATAGTTTATTTACAGTGTGTTAGTTTCAGGTGTACAGCAAAGTGATTCGGTTTTATGTATTTATATTCTTTTTCATTTTATATATAGTGGTTTGAGTAGTTTATATCTTTCCATCCCAAACTCCTAATTTATCACCCCGCCTTTTCCTTTGGTAACCATACGTTTGTTTTCTTTGACCGTGAGTCTATTTCTGTTTTTGTAAATAAGTTCATTTGTATCATTTTTTTTTTTAGATTCCACATATGTAAGTGATATCATACGGTATAATATTTGTCTTTCTCTGTCTGATTTACTTCACTTAGTATGATAATGTCTAGGTCCATCCATCTTGCTGCAAATGGCATTATTATTTCATTCTTTTTTATGGCTGAGTTATGTTCCATTGTATATTATATATAACAGTATGGAGGTTCCTTACAAAACAAAAATAGAGTTACCATATGATCCAGTGATTCCACTCCTGAGCACATATCCGGGAAAAACTATAACTCGAAAAGATACATGCACCCCTCTGCAATCTTCCCTCTGCACCTCTGTCTCATTCCCAGGAACCAACTGATTGGCTCCTATAGCTTAGTTTTCAGTTTCTAGAATTTTCTTTCAGTGACATCAAACATCGTATGCTCTTTGTTTTCTGGCTTCAGTCACTTAGCATCATGGTTCACAGATTCATCCATCTGATTGCATGCATCAGTAGCCTACTCTTTGCATACCATTACGTAGAACGTGCCACAATTTGCTGATCCATTTACCTGTGGATGGGCATTTGAGTTGTTTTCCATTTGGGGCCACAAAAAAAAATGGCCAACGTTACAAATAAGGGCTCCCATGAATATTTGAAAACATTTCAATTTTGAAACAGAAGAGAAGTGTCATGGTCCATTCTGGCTGCTGTAACAAAACACCACAGACT